GAACGCCCTTGGAATCGTAAGCCGGCAAGGAGATAAAAGCTTATCTTCCTGGCAGGAATGCTGCTTCTGCTGCTTTATTCATAACTGAACCCCCAAAAGCTTGGTCGGTTAGCCAAAGACGGGTAAGATTCCCCATGAGGGGAACGACCTAAGACAGGCACGATCACTTTGGGAGGCCCCCCAAAAGAAGGACTGGGGGGGCTGCAGCAAAAAGGGGGTGATGGACCCTCGCTCCTCGGCTTTGACATAGCCTGAGTTCTCAGCGTCTGGGAGAAAATCTCCTTATCTCTCGGTGGCCTTAGTTCCCGTGCTCCACCTAAGCCTGAAACAATGACAGGGTGGTACAGCTCGGTACTGAGAAGTGCGGATTTCCCGGGGTGATCAGGCCTAAGAAAGAACATGTAAATTACTGTGAAACCTTCTTTGTTTAGAATGCTCTCAGTTGAATGAGAAGGGTCTTAGGAGGAAGTTAGTTTGTTCCTCAGTCTTACAGCTCTTTGACCCCAACTCAATAGACCGGCAGAGTTCTTTGTTTTCTATGGTTCCTTACTTCCCCCTAATGAGTACTGTACTTTACCTGAATTATTATGCAAAATGAGCCTAATAAAAGCAGGTATGGACTGTAAATCGGCGCGCTCCCCACTAGGGGGGGTGGCCATTTCGTCCCTACTTCCCCACAGAAACTAGTCTGTCTCTGTGCATGTGTTGTTTTTTCTCGCGTGTTTATCGTCGAGCCATCCACAGCGTTCCGTGGTCACTGCTGGCCGGTGACCCACGCGCAACACTCCTTTATTCTGACACTGTGATTTTTATAATAATTCCACAAGAAATGCTTATTTATATCATCAAGGGGTAGTTTCTGCTTCACCCTCACACATGCCTAAATTAGTGCTTCCTAAACTGTAAGGCACATTTCCTCGTATGAGGGGTCTTGGCAAAGTGCAGAGTCACAGTCAGGAGACCTGGAGTGGAGACTGCAATTCTGCATTTGTTTTTTTTTAAGGATTTTATTTATTTATTTTTAGAGAGGGAAGGGAGGGGGAGAGAGAGAGAGGGAGAGAGAGAGAGAGAGAGAAACATCAATGTGCGGTTGCTGGGGGTCATGGCCTGCAACCCAGGCATGTACCCTGGCTGGGAATCGAACCTGCGACACTTTGGTTCGCAGCCCACGCTCAATCCACTGTGCTACGCCAGCCAGGTCAATTCTGCGTTTGTAACACGCCCTCCAGGGATGACGGTGGTGTGGTGATGATGAAGCTCCAAGAACTGCACTGAGAGTAGAAGGACGTCAAGGTCCCTCTACAAGCCGTAGATCAGAAACTAAGCCATCTGGAAATACAGCTTTAAAAAACAAATAAACAACAACAACAACAACAACAACAACAAAACCCTCAGCTAAAGACTATACCTAGTACTCTTAACTATTCGTGTTATTTATAGAGAATGGAATCACGTGAACAGATTTTTCATTATAAGCTGACATCGTCGCCATGGACACCTGTTAGAATGGACAGAGAGACAAAGTCAAGGCTTCCTGTTTCTGTTAGCCCTGTTGTCCATGACTTTGGGAAGGAGGACTCGTTAACCCAAGGTCAGCAGAACAAGGATTCAGTACCTAGGGCTTAATGACCTGTTTAACTGTTTTAATTTTGGTCAGTGCCCTACTTTCTAAAAGACATACGAGAAACCCATTCCTTTCCTGCCTATCTCTAACCCTCGACTTAATAGGCTGTACTTGAACTAAGTGGAATAAAACACTCTTTAAATGGTTTATTATTCCAACTGTCACCTTTGGCTTAAAAAAACCCTGTAAAAGACTCTGAAACAAGTTATAAACTAATATAATAAAACCGTTTCTGTAAAAGTAACATTTCCTGCTACCCCGTGGCACTTCTTCCATGGAGACTGCAGCTAGACTATTTTATGTTTATTGACACAGAGTCTGGCTTGGGGGGTGGTATCATAAAGAAACACTGACCACAAGAACAATTCTTGGCTTTGAAGTTTCAAAAGCCAAGTGCAAGAATTAGTCATTGCTTGAAAGAGTCTGAAGAATATGCCATCTTTCAGAGTCCAGGTCCAGATCCGAGTGCAAAGAGGCAGCGTGCCCTGACCTCCCCAACCGTCATCCTGATCCCAAGGTGATGTCCCAGAAGTAATGTGGGTCTAGATACCCCTGAGCCAAGCAGGTCTCAGGGTCAAAAGAAATGGCCACATGGGGTATCTAGGCGAAAGACTTGAAGACAGTCTTGTGGGTTCCCATTATCTCTACAGTGTGCAACTCAATAGGTGGGTTTCGCTCACTGCAGATGTGAAGAACAGAATACTTCCCAAGAGCTTAAGCAGAAGTTAAAACTCACTGTGAATGAGAATCTGGAATGAAAGATATGCATGGACAATCTACGTGGCTCGTGAACACCCAGTGGAGGACCAGAAAGGTCAAAGGGCATCTCAGTAGCTGGCAGCAGAGGCAGAGGACAACAGAGGACCAGACACCTCACCCCTCTCAGCTTCACCACTCCCTCCCCAACTCATATCCAAGGAGAAGAAAGCCTAAGTTTCTTCACAAACTAAAGGGGAATTTGTAAAGGAAGCCAAATTCAACTATGAATCATAAATAAAGCCACTACTTGCGCCGATTCCATAGTCAGAGATTCATAGCCAATTTATTTAGTTTCCCTTTACATTTTGCTTTATTTTCCAACACCTAATGATATGTGCTACATGTAGTGCGTACTCTGCAACCACTTAACACAATGCATTTGTTTCACTTGGTTCTGTGTTTGTACAACTATCTGAGGACATAGCTCTATTTTCCTACACTCCAGTGGTCACCATTAGCCACGTGTGGCTGTTGAGGAAGTGAAATGGGGCTGGTCTGGATGGAGATGTGCTATAAATATAATACACACAGGACATTTCGAGGACTCAGCATACTAACAAGAAAGTAAAACATCACACTAATATTTCCATAATTATTGCACATTGATAGTATTTTGGACATATTTCATTAAATACAAATATATTATTAAACTGAATGTCACCTGTTTCTTTTTACTTTTAAACAATGTGCCTACTAGAAAGGGAAAACTTTCCAGTGTGACTCACATTTTACTTCTCTTGGACAATACTGCCCTCATGCTCCTTCGTGTTGGTCTCATTTACTTTCACCGGCGTAACCATCATCATGGCTTAATTTTTTCCATGTGGAAAATAATTAAAATTAGAATTTAATTTTTCCATCGGGACACTCAGTGATTATATGTCTAGCATTTCCTGACAGGGTGTCCTGGAAATTACACAGAAAAAAATGAGTTGTCTTACATCTCATTTCCTGATAACTGGGAATGATCAGTCAGTCTGTAATTTGTACAAAAAAGAAACAGATTTCCTTTAATGTAATTAAGGCCAAGCCATTAATACCCCTGATATTTACTTTAAAATGCTTGGTGACTAAATGGATATAATTAAGAAATTTTCACAAGTGAAATAGGTATTGAAACAGTAAGAAAAAAATCTGAGTTTTTATCTGATGTATTATCTAGTTTATAACTTTCTATATGTATTGATACATTAAACATAGAATAATTTAGCAAAGTGTTAGTTACCAAGGGGCTATTTATTAATGTCTAAGGGAACTACAGAGAAAGTGCATTAACACCTTAGATTCTACACCTTTAGTCCTGAAGTTGGCCATTAAGAAAGGAGCTGTGAACTTCATTCAGGCCAGCTTCAGCTGGATGTCTCACAGGCTTCTCAAATTAGTATGTCCAAGAAAGTACCCCCTGCATTACTGCATGATATACACACAAAGTCAAAATGCCAATGAACCTGTTTCTTTATTTTTTAAATGAAGATAAGCTAGGTGCTGCTCAGTCTGACTCTGGCAATGCCAGGAGTAAGAGGGCAAAAGAGATATAATAAATCTTGAAAAAGCTGGAGAAGAGGATAATAAGGTGAAAGTTGCTAAAAATAGGATCTTTTTTCTTTTATTTTGCTTTTTAAAAAGCACTGTTAAGCATGCATTGTGCCAGATATTGGGGATAGGAAACTGATGGAGACAATTTCAGTTTAGTGGAGAAGATAGCTAAATACATCATAATTAAGATGAAATGTTCAGATAGATATGTCTGCAAAGTTCACGGAACATTAGAGAAATTATAGAATCCATTCGTTCATTTATTCAGAGAGCATTTCCTGAGTCCTTAGTACGATTTGCTAGCAGCAGCCTAGGGAAGGTGCCTCTGGGGCAGCAAATTCAGGGAGCAAGAATGGGGTTACAAAGACAGGGAGAGATTACACTGTCTGGGGTGTTCAGACAATGGCAACTGTAGAGTTAGCTCCTGTCTAAGCAAACAGTTAAGGTTGGCAACAAAAGAGGACTTTAGGAAGGAATGCAGTAGACAGGTCTGAAAGGGCGTAGGCTTTTCACCATGACATCCCAAATTGCTCTTGGTGGACTCACAAGGGGACACACATTTTCCTCCAACATCTGTTTTATTAAATACCTGGAGTACAAAAGCACACGCTTCTCATTGTTAAAATAGGTATGTATTATGTAGTTGACGCAGTAGCATATGATTAGTAAGATATGACAGGAAATGAAATTCTACAGCTGGGTAGGGCGATGACTGGCTTTCTCCCCTGAGGACTCCGAGGCTGGAGTTCATGGTTCCCAACTCCGAGATGACCTGGGCCAGGGCATGACACCTGGTGAACACTGAGCATTTTAAGTGTGCCACTGGAGAGAGGCGGCAACGCATGGAATGAGGAGCGCTCTCCTCCCTGGACCTCTCATTCCTAAAACAACCCCCATCAGGTGCCTTTTTGTCACCAGACAGCACAGCTAGCTCAGGAACTGCCCTTTTCACCTCTGGCGCCTGTTGCCAGGGCAACCCTCTGCCGCCGCCTGTCTGCGACTTCCCTGCTATTGGTTTTGTGGTCAGAACGTGCGTCTGACGTCACGCACGGCGCCGCCAGATCCGGGGATCGCGCGCAGCCTCCTTTTTCCCAAACTCAGGCGACGGGTCACGGGAACCGCCGCATTGGCCCAGCGGGCGCCGGTGAAAAGCCCCGTCTAGGGTGGCGGCTAGTGGGCGGGTCGCAGGGGCGGGTGGCGCGGTAGGACGGGTGCCCAGAGCCGTGGGCTGAGGGTGCGGGGCTTCCGCGGCGCTTCCCGGACTCTCTGGGCCTAGCCGGCTTCCGTTACGGCCTGTTGCTAGGGCTGGCGGACTCCGTTGCTAAGGACCCTGGAGATGCTGTGAGCCGAGAGCTCGCCCTTTCTTTTCCGGGGTCGTGCTTTGGCCCGGAGTAGCCTCCGTTCGCCTTAATTGAAACCGGTCGCCTTTTCTTCCACCCTCCTTACGAAAAAACAATCAGTTTATCTCCATTTCCCACTACATGCCTTCTTTCTTTTCCAACTTTGGTACCACCCTGGCCCTAAAATGGCTTTAGATACTAAGAAACGTATGGTGGTGGAGGAATAGAGGCTAGGAAAATGAAAAGCAAATTTTAAGGCCCTTGTTACTGGCCCGTTGGATTTTCTTGATAGTAAAAGGGGACTGAGTAGGTGGTTACTGGGGTATGTCTCTGTGCTTTGGAATTAGAAGGAACTTTAGTGCGGCGCCTATTACGCTTTTGGAACTTTCTAAATAGGATTAGGGAAGAGTAAATAATGTGGCATCTGCCCTTGAGAATTTAGCAAGCAGTTTCATGCAGTGGTCTCAGAGCGGGGTGCGGGGTGTGGGGGGGCGTGCATATAGAGAAAAAGAGGATTTACAAGTTGTTCAAAACAGTGAAAGAACGGTATGCGTTCCTAGCTTGGACACAGATGCCTACAGCTAAGGAAATGTGAGGGGAAAGTGAGGATCCCACAGTGGAGCTAGCTCTCTGATACTGTGACATAATTTATGTGTTTGGGTTAAGTGGATTTGTGGATTCTAGAGTCTTTTTAGAGTCTTTGTATTGCTTTGTAAAAGAATTGTGGCCTTAGAATATTTATAACATAAAGCAATTCTTTATTTTTCACTTCCTTCCAATATTACTCTTTCACACCACCCTCTTCCATGTTATTTAATGAAAGTGCACTCAAAAGGGTGGTTGAGCATAAGGTAAATTAAGCATTTTTTCCTTCACAAACAACTCATGCTGCAGGTTTGTTGTCAGTAATCTACCAGATATTTTTTAAAAAATTGAGCCCACTAAATTTGTCTTTAAGGCAAAAGGAGATACTTTTACTGATACAGGAAAAAAGTTATTGTTTCAGAAAGATACTAAAGTGTTTCAAAAGTGGCCATAGAAATGTTTGCATCATTGTGTGTTTGTGTGGATGTTTGTTGGTATCTGAAAATTAAGTACATTACACATAAGAACTGTCCTGTATACTAAAACCTTTGGAAACTCACTTTTTAACATGTTTAAAAGTGAAGTGAAGACTTTCGGTTAATTTTTTGAAGTCGTTCATAATGCAGTACCTTCCCATTAGTACCTTCAAAGGAACACCTTTGTGACATAACAGAGTGTACAGATTTAATTGTTCCAACAAAAATGTTTGCAGAATTGCTAGACAGTGTTGGAAAATGTGTGCCCTGGTTTGATATGGCAAACTAGGCACTTGTTATGATTGTGGGTAGGCATCTTTGTGATAATACCGTCTTCAACCATGTCAGTTATGACAGTTTACGATCAAGACAGACGAATCTTAAACTGGATCTTCAAATTGGCATAATCCAAGCTATTAAACCAGATTTTTCAGAAAGAAGGAAACTATTTAATCACCTTAACCCCACTATTATTGGTGATACAACAAACCACTTTGTATCATTATAAAGAAAGTGCTAAAACTCAATATAGTACTTACTGTGTGCCAAACACATCCATAAATGTTTTACATATATTACTTTGTTAGTCTTCATCAACATTTAGAATAGTTATTGCAGTTACCCCAAATTGTAGAGTTGGAAATGAGGCACATATTTTTTGAAAAAATAGAAACTTAATGTATTGCTCCTCAGCGGGAGCTTCTCCAAACAGTCCAGGAATAATCGTAAGGACTTCTTAAACAATCACGGAAGTGCTGTATTAGGTCAGTGTGTTTAAAGCTTGCCTTGGCTTGTCTTAGAGTATTATCTGATGAAGTTAATGAGATGTGAATGACCATGTTTCTAGAAAAGGCCTTGGGAATGAATGCGAAGTGCGGTGTTGGGAAGTCAGTCATCTGCTGGTCACAGGATGAGAAAATTAAGTCAGTGTATTAAATTTAAAACATTTGGAATTTAAAGTTCTGTGCACAGCAGCATTCTGATGTTTATCTCTACAAGGCACTCGGCTCACATCATGGTTGAAATATTATCAGGCTCACTTGCTACGTGGAGCTTGGTCTTCCTCGTGAAAGTTTCTAATCCGTTAAAATCAGCTCATGCAAGGAATCGCTTCAGAAAGTATCAGTGTTTATCCTGAAGAAGAGAAAACTAAAGAACTGAGAGTCGTTGTCCTCAAATATCTGAAAGACTCTCCCTTGGAAGCATAGCAGGACTTGACCTGTGTTGCCATACGGGAAGGTCTTACAGTGCAGTTGCAGATGTGGCTGCACCACAGGCGTGAAGTGGAGAGTGCTCTCATGAAGGAATGACGAGTGTTTTGCAAGGGACAGAGGAAGTAATCAAGTAGACACACGAAGGAAGCAGTGCAGAAATTAGAGGGCCATGGAAGAGAACATTTGAGAAACAGAAGATGGGAAAGGCCATGGGAATTTAGGATTGGAGCTTGGCCTGGGGATCCCAGCAGGCAGCTGGGTATGTGGGTCTGGGTGTGTGTGGTGGAGGATTCATTGGTAGAGATAGAAGTTTAGAAATCACTGATTAGGCAGGAAATCATGGGTTATGAAGTAGACCCCTTTCATTACCAGAAAAGGGAAATAAGGAAGAGGGAGAGGTGAACCTCCATTGGCTGGTGAGCAGGTTGATAATGTGACTCAACCAGGGCTTTAATAGGCTTGATTTTCCTCTCAATAGATCAGGAAAGCGAAGCTTAGGGAGATTAAATAATCTGCCTGAATTCCTGAACCTCATAATAGGTAGAGAGGAGATGCAAACCCAGATTTGAGCCCAGAGCTCTTTCTGCCTCGCCATACCATGTTGAACACATCACAGGGTTGAGTGAAGGAAGCAAAGGAAAAGGAAACAGCAATGATCTGTAAATTTTTCAATCTGATGGGCCAAAAAACTGGTGCTTCCTTGAGTTAACAAGGGATTTACAACTTCAGTGTGTATGATAACCTTTGGGTTATGTTCGAGTCAAGGAGCTCGTGGGACATTGAGTAGGACAGTTTATTATGTCACTGCAAAAGTAGGACTTGGTATGCAGGCGATGACATTTGGGACTTTGGAAAAATAGAGGCCAGAGAACGTGGAGACCGTAGGGGATGTGCCAGCCACTCTTCAGAAATCTAGTTCGTGTTTTCTGCATGTGACCAGAGAATTGCAACTGAGTATCTGACAGTAAATTTGATCATTTGAAGAGGGAAAATGTGGTTTTACACATTTTATTTTCTTTAGGCCAGTTTTAAATTTGCTGTCGTTGATCTTACTGGAATTGATATAATCAATTTCAGTAAGTATTGATATAATCAATAAATAGATTTTCTCATTAGTCTTTTCAAGTATTTTGCTCCGTATCATACCATCATATGGTTTTTTTGTGTGTGTCTTTTACTGTATTTTATACTGTATTCTGTTTTGGTCTTTCTAGTGTCAGTGAATTTCCTCAAAATTTTTTGAAATCAAGTTTCATTTGCCTGCAGGAGCCCAGGGGAAGCAATGCAGAAGTCAGAGTGCCGCGGAGCCGTGCGGCTGAGAAGCAGAGCGCCAGGTACGGCACGCTGATGCTTCAGGGAAGCGGCGAACTTCAGTAGTGACACGTCCTGGCATCCGCATGGATGGGGGGCGGGGGGTGAGTTTTATTGTGTTCACCTTTTTTGCGGTGATTTTTCTGGGTTTCTTTCCCAGGTGATTACAGCCAAAGGACACCAGCAAGTCCACAGACAAAACATGGGACTGCAGTCCAACAGAGCAAACCCTCACCGGCAGCCAGTTCACCAGAGTCTGCAAGAAAAGCCCACCCTCGACCAAGTGATAAACTGAACCCTAAAACAATTAACCCGGTAGGTACAAGGGAGATTCTGATTCAGTAGATTTTTCTAAGAACATGCGCTTAGCACGCCGTTGAACCGTTTGAATCCTCTCTTGGGTCTCCGGTGCTAGTGCTGAGGGGGTGAGGCAGAGGGCGTGTGGCAGCGACGGTGGAGGGTGGAGAGGGTGTGGCAGTGAGGCAGGTGACCGGTATGGAGTGGGCATCAACCAGTGTTGGTAGATCCTGTCTCATTCCTGGGCGTGTATGGTAGGGTAGAAAACAAATTGCATATCAGCCTTATTTTGTATTTGCTGTGATTTTTTGACATTCTGATATCAGCGAATAAACTTATATTCAGTTGTCATAGGATGAATTGCATGCCTTGATAGTTGCATAAAGGTCTGTAATCGTTTTTCTGTGATCTATAAACTTGCTCCACCAGAAATCCTAACTGTAGTGCCAGCTTCCTTTTGCCTTATCCCAGCAATTTAATCAGATTTAACAACAATGAGATTTAAGCACATAAAAGTTCATAATTGTGTGTAAATCAGTGACTTATCCAAAAGTGAGCACACCTGAGCAACAACACCAGGTGCGTTTGGCCCAGCCTTCCATGGGGTGAGATGATAGTGGTTAGGGTTAGGGTTAGGGTTAGGGTTAGGGTTTCAGCTGGTTCTCTGATTTTGATGACAGGTGAAATACGCCAGATACTTAGGCAAGGATACCATGAACAGGCCAAGAAACAGGACATTATCTACTTAGAAAAGTAAAATGAGCCCTGTCTGGTGTGGCTCAGTGGATTGAGTGCTGGTTGGCAAACTAGAGGGTCGCTGGTTCAATTCCCTAGTCAGGTCTCTAGCCTGGGTTGCAAGCCAAGTCCCCAGTAGGAGCGCTTGAGAGCCAACCACACATTGATGTTTCTCTCCCTCTCTTTCTTCCTCCTTTCCCCTCTAAAAATAAATAAATAAAATCTAAAAAAAATCTCTTTGAAAAGATGATGTCTCTCTTAAAAAAAAAAAAGAAATTACAGTTTGAGTATCTATGTTCCTTCCTGTGTTCCTATTTGCTATGTTCCTATGTTCTCTTTCTGTAATTTACACAGTGTCAACGAAATTACAATCCTGAATACCCCGATACTTTCTTGCTGTTACTTCCTTTTCCCATATTTAATTGATTTGTCTTAATTTTTTTCTCAATATAAGCAACACTTTTTCAGTTACTTATCTTATATGATTCTTACTTAGAAACAAATTTTAAAGCATATTTTTAGCAGGGATTATAACTCAAATAAAACATTGCTGTTGCTGTGAGTTACTGTGCAGAATGTGGGTTGAGCTTCACAAATGAATCTTTCATTGTGATATTTTATTTTAGTGAAACTTCATATGTGTTTTTACTCAATGTGTTTTTTTCCAGAGGGAACAGGGCTAATTCTAAACTTAAACTTTTAAGTGTATTTTTAATTATTGTATGCAGTTAAAAAATTTTTATCTAGTTATGCATAGTAAGTTTCTATTTTACATTTTCAATGACTATTTCATTTAATTATATTCAGAGTACCATGTTGTAAAATATTTACTTTTTATATCTTTAGTTTCTGATCAATTATATTGAAACTCTGTGCGCTGTGATTTTTTTTAACTTCTGTGATTGATCACCCCTTAAATTGCCTTTGAGAGTAGGTCCAGATTTAATCTATTCTTAAGATAATAATGTATAGCAAAACTGAAAGTCGTGAAGTTTTATATCTAGGCAGGCACATGTGGGCATTTGTTTCTGAGGGTCTTGCTCAGTCTCCAGCCCTATCACCCCTGCCCAGCCTAAGCCTTGATTTCTATGGAAGCAGAAGGCCGGCTTGGGAAGTGACAGGTTCCCTGACCGTCCGGAGCACCCGTACTTAGCTGGAGCACAGGCAGGGAGTGTGCTGAAGGCTGAAAACCAGTGCTTTCCTGCGCTTAGCACCGCCGTTCAGCTCTCACCTTCCAAGGTCAGTCACACTGAGGAGGGGTTGAGAAGTGGTATCTTATTACATTTATGATATTGTATATTTATCTGTATTATATTTATGTGTTATATAAGTGGTTTCGGGCACCTTCAAGCCTTTCGAGACAAGTTAGGGTGAAAGGAAACACGCAGTGTGCTAGTGGTTGTGTATTCGGTCCGGAGAGGACTGACGCTTCCTCAGCTGCGTTGCTGAGCACAGTGATACACTGGGAAGCTGAAAGTGGCTGGAAAGTCAGGGTGTTCTTTTGCCTCTGACCTGAGCAGGATTAAAATTGATTAGATATGGACAAAGTGGAGGTGATAGTAGTGTTTATTGTATTCTTGTCATATTTCATTACAGTTTGGCGAACAATCGCGAGCCCCTTCTGCATTTGCAGCTGTTTACTCTAAAGGAGGTATTCCTTGCAGGTAAAATCAATACAAGTTGTAACTCACCATGTTATTCAAAGTAATGGAGTAAAATCAATACAATATTCAGTGTGAATGTATTGAAAGTTTTATTTACGAGGGAGGTTGAAATAAAGGTGACTTACACTTTTGGGCTGTTAGATTGGTATAGATCCTGGGACATTGTTGGAGAAAATAATTTTAATTCCAAAATAGAATTATCATAGATCTTTAGTAAACCACCGAGCAATTTAAGAAATTGATTGAACCAGCTGTTAAAACAGTATAAGCATTCATTGGCTTGTGCAGGTTACAAATAAATTATTCTATTTTGTTTGTAAACTGAAAGTTGACAATTTAATAACATTGTTTTTATTATTTTTTTAAAAATTATATTTCAAGTATACAAAATTTCAAAATTTCAAAATTACATTTGTTGTAACAATACTCCTTAGTTGTTTTTTTCTTACTTTTGATATAATTCTTTCCACCTTTCAAGAGAGAATTCAGAATTGTTTTAAAGAAAGCAATATAGGTTACTAATAGAGAGATATTATTATGAGATTTCACTCTCTAGAATCATTTATTTCTTTTTTTAAGATTTTATTTATTTATTTTTAGAGAAGGAAGGGAGGGAGAAAGAGAGAGAGAAACATCAATGTGCAGTTGCTGGGGGCCATGGCCTGCAACCCAGGCATGTACCCTGACTGGGAATCGAACCTGGGACACTTTGGTTCGCAGCCCGCGCTCAATCCACTGAGCTACGCCAGCCAGGGCTTTAGAATTATTTATTTCTTATGAGTATGTTCAGTTTTAGCCTTATATAATTGATAGAGAATTTTATTTTCATTGTGGAAAGAATAATCACATCCTTTTCTGGTTTGCTTTGTTTTTCTAATATTTAAGAAATGTAGTTTTTAATGGTGTTTTCAGATTTGGCTGACTATGTATGATATTCTAAATTGAAACCCTGTTAACATTCTTACACTTCCTTACCCACCCACAGCAATTGATTGTTGCTAGGAATGTAAAACAGTGTTACTGAGGCCTCTTGCAGTTCCGCAGATCACACAAAGGAAGGAGTCAAGTTGAGAGCCTTTGAGGGTGGTGAAGAAGTTCACTGTTAAGGACTGTGGTGATGGTTCCATGTGTATGTTCACACATCAAAACTTACCACACTGTGCACTTTAAATAAGTGCAGCTGGTTGCATGTGAGCTGTGCCTCAATGCAAGTTGCTTAAAAGAAAGAAGCGGCAGCAGGAGCTTTAAATCAAGAGGCTGCCCCTTTGTTACCCCATGTGGGCCGTGTCTCCTTCCTGGAGTCCGTTCTCTTCCACACGGATGACACCTGGCTGGACTGCGCATCATTTCTGTCAGCGTTCAGTGATCTGTATCCAGAAACGATGTTTGTGCTAAAGTAAATTTTTGTTTCTAATTATTACCCTTTGTATTTTCTGTTCTGAGTAGATTATTTTGTTATAATTATGACTGAAATGCATCAACTGTAACATTTGCATTGAGACTCACAGTGACATGCTTGAGCTCCAAAACTGCAGATTTAGCAAATGCAGGGTTGTTTAGTTTTCCCGCAGTTTTGCCGAAAGGGTAAGGATTTGCAGCATTACAGGCATCGCTTTATAACATGTCTCTGTAATATGGTTTGAAGTCACAGTTTTTCTACATGTTACAAAATAATTTTAATGTGGGTATGTACTAGAAAGAGTATATATGTGTCAGATAATCACTGCTTAATACATGATGTTCTTGTTACATTCACTGGTTTTTATACTGCAGGTTGGTCCATGGGTCAGTCAAGCACAGATTGCAGTGGGAATGCCCTCCCGAAAATCTTCCATTTGATCCTCTTCTCATCACTTTAGCCGAGGTAAGTAATTACTCCATCTCTCCTAAGTATTTATGGGAAAAAAATATCTTTTAAAATGACATTAAGTGTTATTTTGTAACTGATCAGTAAATTGGAATCTTTACTTTTGAATCAAGAGCCAAACAATAGGCATTAACACACTACACTGTCGTAGGAACTACGTATACTGGTAATTGGCGTATGGTTATTAGAAACCAGTTAATCAGCTTTATAAGCATGAGGTTAGTGTACACAGGTATTTATAGGTAAATGGTTGAAATATGCATGCTTCAAATGTAAAAGTAGTTAGACTCAACGCAGAGGAACATCTTTGTTGAACTGGTCAAGTCAGGAGGGCATCAGCGGTGTGTATTCAAACCAACTCAGGTCATGAGTGGTTGGTCTCTCCCTGTTCAGCTAGTCCTGTGTCCACGGTGTGTTTCCAAGGTGACTGCTATTAACACCCTAATTTCTTTTGTAGGATTTTCTAGGGTCTTGTTTTCTTGTACATTTTAAGTAGAAAATCATAGAGGGGCTTTTATAGAATTAAAAAACAATTGAATAAGTTCCTTTATATTATTTAACATTTGTGTCAGGAAAACAAATTGGGAGATCATGGTAAAGGTAAAGGGTCCGATAATTATGCATTCAGAAAGTGGTGTTTATAAACATACATTTTGGACTAATGCATTACACTTTCAGGTAGTATTTAGGAATTTATACAAAATGTATTTATTTTACTAGTATGTTTTTCTCTTCCTTTTTTCTCTTTCTTTTTATTTACCTTTTCTCTCCCTTCCTCCCTTTCTCTCTTTACCCCCTTCCTTTCTTTCCTTTTTAAAATTCCTTTTTTTGTTTCCCCTTTTTTTCTGTTTCTTTAATCTTATTATTTTTCCTTTCTCCCTCTGTCCTTCCTTCCTTCCTTCCTTCCTTCCTCCCTCCCTCCCTTCCTTCCCTCCTTCCTTGTTCCCTGTGGATACAGATCCTTTCTGCCTCATGTATGTCTTATTCTACATTTTTTCTGTTTATTTAAAACTGTAATATTAAACTTCTGTATCATGATTAAGAAAACAATAAGACTTGATTCTCACTTACATAAGTGAGAATTCAATTTTTCTTATTAGCATAAGCAAATGTGGATTTTGTTTTGTTTTGGGTCTTTGTCAGGGTCTGAGAGAGACCAAACATCCGTACACCTTTGTGTCAAAAGAGGGCTTTAGAGAGTTACTTTTGGTCCAAGATGCTCCTGAAAAAGCTGTGCCTCTGCTTCCTCGACTGGTCCCCGTGCTTAAGGCAGCCCTGGTATGTTCTTTACTCTTTGAATTTTCTGTGGTCCATCGAGGATATTTTATGTCTTTCTTTTCTTCCAAATTACATGCTAATTAGCTTTTTACCCGTTCTGTTTATATGCGGAATTAAGTCACTCTTATTCAGAGCTAGATAATCATTTACTTGAAAACACCTTCAAAGGATGTACTAAAAGTAAAATGGGACATTTTGAGTAATTAGAGAAAGTAATGAACCTCACAGCGATCTTTCTGCATGGTACAATATATCTTAGTTAATGTTTCAGTCCCACTTTTTATAAAATTTGTATGTTGCTTCTACCTGTCTTTCATTAAAGATTATTTTTTAAAGTCTGGGTTTGGTTGATTATGTTCTAATTTTGGACATTCAGTTCAGTCTTATTTTTTTTCTCCTGGCTTGTCCTCTCTCCTAACACATCCTTCCTGTCTCTTTTCTTTCCCTTCCTACCTGTACACCCTGACCAACCAACACTGCACAGGCTCATTCAGATGACGAGGTCTTTGAAAGGGGAGTAAATGCTCTGGTGCAGCTGAGCGTCGTCGTGGGCCCTTCCCTAAATGACCACCTGAAGCATCTGCTCACGAGTGTAAGTGCTGGGAGGACTAGGGGGTGGCTGTGCCTCTGCGCCATGCCCTGTCCTTTCTCTTCGTGATGCAACGGCTTCGAATGATGCAAAGCCTCAAAAAACAAAAACAGAAAACCAAAGAACAAACCTCATTATCTTACCCAAAATCATCCTAATGCTTCATAAAATATGTAACCGATGGACAGTTACTCTTCAGATTTTTTCAGTGGAAAGCAGCTGAGGAACAGAACTTAGAGTTGCGCTGAGAAGTAAGCAAAGTTGATGCACACAAATTAATGAGCAATGTAGTGGTCTGATGCCCGTGTTGATGAGCTATGAATTACAGGCAGAGCTTATCCACCCTCTTATGTAATTGTATATTGCTATTGAAAACACCTGTTTTAGAGGCTTAGCTTTCCATCACAGTTCTCCAAATGCTCTTGCAAATTATAAAATGGAAAAGTATGCCGTTTCATAGAACCCTTACTCTGGATACCACACTGTAGCAGATTTTGTAGGATCGGTGTTACTTGAAATAATTAAACTAATAGATTTTTGTTCCCAAGAAATGGAGTGGCATCTATTACATACATGCTTCAATGAGGTACTTCCTAAAAGCAGCCTTGGAGCCTAAAGCAATTAAGTGTGTTCATGGACAGTAAAGATGCAGTGACTTTATTTTTGGTTAGCCTGTTTTTTAGTTAAGTTTTACTTATACTTATGGTAAATATTACTGCTTTTTGAAATCATTTTATTTCCCCGATTCTTATTTTTAAAGCTTTCAAAGAGACTAAGAGACAAGAAATTCAAAGAGCCCATCACCAGTGCGTTACAGGAGCTGGAGCAGCACGGCGGAAGTGTAAGTGGTGCATTCTTCTTTAAGCCGTAATCCTTGTTCTGCTTTCAGTCACATTACAGAACTCACTGTGTAATATACACGCTCTCGTGTCAGCCACAAGCGACCCTGTGGAGTGGACTCTACTGTTTCCCTCCCGGAGCCCCGCGCTTGGTCTTGCCCAGGTCACAGGAGTTTCGGCGCTGGCCTTCTGCCCCAGGCCCGGGGGACTCCGGGCTGTGCCTGTTCCCTGTGCTGGCTGGGTAGCTCTGCGGGCGGCGTCACAGGGATTTTTCCCTTCAGTTTGAATGTTTGGATGTTTTGCTTTAACCATTTAAAAGTTCAAAAACAAGAGATTAATGTAGAGAGCTGATTGAAAAACAGTATTTTCCTTTCATTTGCCATTTTTTCTAAAATTTTATAATTTTCTCATAATCGTAGACTGAAATGAGGTTTCTTCCCGATGTCTGCAGTAACCTGTCCGGCAGCACGTGTGTGTGTGCGTGTGTGTGTGCATGTGTGTGCACGTGCTCACAGGGGTGGCTCGGGTGACTGTTTTAACTGCAAGAAGGTGCAAGAATGGAGGGGGTTTCATTATTATCTGTGTGATGTCAAATAATGAGGCTTTTTCATCTTTTTTTTTAAAGATTTTATTTTTAGAGAGAGGGGAAGGAAGGAAGAGAGGGAGAGATACATCGATGTGGGAGAGAAACACAATTGGTTGCCTCTGGTGTGTGCCCTGACCAGGAATCCCATTGGTGACCTTTCACTTGGCGGGTTCACGCCCCACCAACTGAGCCACATGGGGCAGGGCTGCGTTTTCATCTTCCGAAAGAAGTGTTCAGAGAATATAGCCTCTAAATATTTCCACTCCCATCTTGTTATGGAGCTCATGTTTAATCGAATCTTAATGACAGAGTTACATTGCAAAACTTAGTTTCATTCTAGGTACGTTCTGAAGGAATTAGTTACAGACATTCATATGATTGTATACAGTTTTAAAATGGCAGATGTTTTAGTTTAAACTTTGCCTAAATTACCCAATTTGACCAATTTCGGGGACTTTTTAAATTGACGGCACTCTTTGCATGATGAATGCCTTGAATAAAGTTTATGAGGAGGGATTGCCGAAGCTACTAGATAACGCGTTTCTTTGTTGTGTGGGGGTCCTAGGCTGAGAACTAGTGTTCAGATGCCTTCTGGTGATACACCAAACTGCCCCCCACCCAGTCCAGTGTTGCTCCTTAGCAGAAAGGGAATTCTTCTTGCTTGCAAATGTACCTGCTGCTCTGAGAATTGGAATGCAGAATGAATTTGTCCTTTCCTCCCCGTGAAATGCAAGGGGACAGATGCTTACTGTGGCACAGTTTTCAATCAGACAAACTTCCCGGGTGGTTGTGAAACATCCTGTGGACTGGTGTGGGGAGTGGGGCGAGCAGACAGGGGCAGGCCCAGTGTGTTAGATTGCATGGGTGTGCCTAGGAAGGAGGGGTAGTTCGTGTGTAAAGTTCAGAAACAGCACACTAAGATTTGGAGGGGGGCTCCTAAGGGTGTAGGGGACTGATCCAGGTTCTCGGAGATAGTTACCAAGGTAGCCTCTTCCACTACTCAGTCTCTTCTGTTTTGAATCATGCCAGTGCAGAATAAGAAACGATTTTGAAGTCATAATGGATATTAAGTAGTATTTATTCCTTCAGACTTTTTTCTCTACTTGTTCTCTTACATGACACTTTTTATGTAATGTCCTTACATCAGTTATTACTACATACCATATTACTACATATCAAAGACTTTCCCTCGGCTTAATTATTTTTGTGCTTGCTTTGGATACTTGTAATCCTTCATGAAATTAATGAATGTTCTTTTTTTCCCTTCTAAAATGTAAACATTTATATTTCTTTCTCTTTCTTTAAATATTTAGAGAGGTCTTTAAAAAAGAATATCAATGTTGTGGTGTTGATACAGGGTGTAGCCATGGGGCCCCCAAACAGGGATTTGTAATGGGGTTCAGAACTCAGGGTGTCCAGGAAATATTAAGAAAATACAGGATGTCCTCACCCCCACAAATCTGAACTGGGGCATGGGACACATGGAGCAGGGCCATTGAGAGCTGTTTTGCATAGCAACAGTTTTGCAGATAACCTCTGGCATGGTCACTTAACATATCTGTAACCTTTAACTGGTTGTATAGATATGTTAAACAGCTGTAGCCCTGCTTTGAGCCAGGGAGATGGGAGAGACTTCAACCCATGATGTAACTGGGAGGCAACTGCCCCTGGTTACAGCACCTGTGTGAGAGTTTGGCGATGATTAGCTCCATGCCATGGGGCCACGCCTGCCTGGACTTACTATGGCAGCCCAGTAGAGATGGAAAAATACGGGACTGCTAGTGAGTGTAATTGATTGTGGGAGGAGTCGGAAATGGGGCTGCAGAAGAAGATTGGTGCTGGGGTTTAAACCCAGGCATGGCAGCCACGGAAGGGGGGGACTGTCACACGTGGGCACAGGTAACCAAGTTCTTGGTGATCGGGACAAAGAATTGAACCAAACACCCAGTTTATAGCAGAGAACATGGGAGCAGGCCAACTCCAAGCAGAGACTGACCTCATGAGCTGGAGGTACTCTATTTCTACAGGGTAGATCATCCTTCCTGGCTAATGTTGGTGGGCTTTTACTGTGCATGTACAAGTAGTTATATTACTTTAAAGCTACTGCACATGTGGTCTCCCATGATTTTCCCTGATTGGCCACCAGGGAAGGGGGTCCCACAATGTTATCAAATTGACCCCCCCCTTTCTCCTGGGGTCCCCCTGTACTAGGTTCACCTTTCCCTTTGCCAGAGAATTATAGCTCTCCATGTTAGAGATTGGTGAAAAGGAAAGGAATTGTTTATTCAAGTTATACAGACTTAAGAGTAAAGACTTAATGTCTTCATCAAAATCCCTGAGTCCCTTAAAACACCCCACCCCCCCCCACACACACACACAGTCCTTCCTTCCCCCCTTTGCCCATTCTGGAGTACCATTTCTCAGGAAAAGAAATAGAAGTCCGTGGCTCAGGCAGCCCCCAGTTCTTCCCAGTAATCTATGCTCAGCTGGTAGGCCTCCCTTGGTTCCCAGCACCATCATCTGTGTCGCTGGGATCTCCAGCTAAAAGCTGCATGGTGGTTCTTCTCATGGCTGCGGGGGATCCCCACTCTGCCAAAAGCACATGGTTCTCCTCACTGCCACAGCCGTATGGTCCTCTCGTCAATGGCTACCGAGTCTGGTTTTAAATCCCCACGCCAATCTTCCTCTGCAGCCCCATTTCCAACTCCTCCCACAATTGGCTACACTTGCCAGCACTCTCATATCCTTCCAGCTTCACTGGGCTGCCATTGTGAGTCTGGGCAGGGGTGGCCCCATATCATGGAGCCAATCATCTCCAAGCGCCCACGCAGGCGCTGTAACTAGGGGCAGTTGCCTCCCAGTTACATCTTGGGGGGAAGTTCCTTCCATCCCCCCAGCTCAGAGCATGACCACAGCTACTTAACATATCTATGCAACCAGTTAAAGGCTATAGATATGTTAAATGACCACCCCAGAGGTTAGCTGCAAAGCTGTTGCTATGCAAAACAGCTCTCAATGGCCCTGTTCCATGTGTCCCTTCCCTCAACTCACACCTGTGGGAAGGCAGTGAGGACATCCTATATATCTTTCTAATATTTCCTGGACACCCTGAGTTCTGGACCCCATTACAAATCCTTCTTTTGGGGGCCCCCTGGCTGCACCCTCCTACAGTAGGACGGGGGACCCCTGGAGCACAAGAGGGTTCTATTTGATAATAGTGTATTATTCACCGCTCCCCCCACCCCCAACAGTGTCTCATTTCTTAGGGCCTGCAGGTATCACACTGATGGAAGGACTCCTGGGAAAACAAAATTATCAGTGACAGTCACAGTGCCATTCTCTTACAACTAACTAATCAGCTCTTAACTGGCCTCAAATTGAAATTGGTTCCTTCTGAGCTTGATTTCTTTATTTTTCCTAAGTGATACACAGCTGTCCAGGTTCACGCTTACACACCACTCGATCTTTATTGATCACATGGGAAAGTGTTTCGTGCCGGCTGCTTTACTGATTACTTTTAAGAGGGTAAACTCATTTAATCTTTACTACGGCCCTCAGAGGGGGTTGGGTTGTTATCCCCTTTGAAAGATCCAGAAACAGGCACAGAGACCTAATGACTTCCAGGTTTGACAGGGAAGTGGCTGGCAGAGCTGGATTCAAATATTGGTATTCTGGTTCCTAACTACTTCTCTAGTTAATCTTTTTTAAGTAAGAGATAACCTGTGTTTAACTCAAATAAAGCTCACTTCTCACTTCATCATTCTGCTGTTACCCCATTTTGTTTGTTTTGACCTTTGACCCTTTGTTTTGACCTGTTGAACATGACTTTGCAAGTGTAATACCTATTAGAGGAACCCTGCATGGTAATAACAAGACTAATTTCTTTTCTCTGTTGACAGGAATGCCTTATCATCATCAAAGCTAAAATCCCGACATACTGCTCCATATGTTGTTGAAGAAGAGGGCCGCCAAAAATCCTCCTACTGCCTGGTGACAGGTGTTACACTCGCAGACCGCAGACACCTGGGCGGCCTCTGCCGCTTCCCCTCAGTCTGTTGTTTTGTAACTCGCAGCCACCATCCATCATTTACTGCTTTGGGATGAACATACACAGTTCCACGGAATCATAGGAAGTGACTCAACAACAAAGAGGCGTAGTTAATAAAGAAAAGATATTTTTAAAAGTTCTATATAGGACAGTTTTGTGAGGTTTATTTTTCCTATTTCTATGGTTTGTGTGAACAGCTATTATTGAGTTTACAGTAGGTGTGTTTGTATTTATTTTCTAATGGCTTTTATTTATAACATTCCTTTTGTAATCAGTTTGTAGCTATACACCTATTTGTAGACATTTTGCCATATCTGGATTTTATATTTATCAATGTGATAGAAATTTAAAATAGTGGACATGTGTGAATTCACTGTTTATTGTTTGTAAATATGTATTTCATAATGTAGAATGCTTGGGAATATTTTTTTCCAGAGTATTCTACTTAAAATTTTTTTAACGTATAAATTCTCTCATAAGTATGTTGTTTATTACAACTCATTAAAGCTGCCTAAACTTTAGGTGTTAATTGTATTTAAGTAAATGTTATTTTTATATTTCGTAGCCTGAATTCAGTACATGAAGAGATTCTGAAATTAAAAATTTAAAACTCTTCTATGTGTTCATTGATTTTGTTAGGCTTGCTTGTGTTGAACAGTTAAATTTAAAAAGATTTTGAAATTTATGGGCATTGTTCTGAGTGTTGATGTTGTAGAAGCTGACTCTGGATCATTTTACAAGAGAAAGGAGTAGAAGAGAAATAAAAAACAAGAATAAGACCTTCCGTCTTAAGGGCAAGAATGGAGCCCGTGGCAGCGCGAGTAGTCCCAGCAGACCCCTGCCAAATCCGCGCCCTCAGACGCTGCCCGGGGGATGGGTGTTTGGGGGCTGGATGTTCAGGGTTGCGGCCACATGAGGGCAGCACGCCCTATTCCCGAAGTGCCCGAGAAAACACTTCCTCCACGCCGTCCTTGCAGCCCCCGGGGGGAGCTCTCTGCAGGCTCACTTTCGATTGTCTCACAGCAGAAATCGGAAAGGATAAAAGTAACTTCTGAAGCGTCACAGTTGTGAAATGCTCGTCCTCCTTCAGATCTGTTGTGCTTCCTGGCTCCCCGTCTGGTACACACGGTCCTCAGGTCTCACTCGCCCCATCCCATCCTCGGGTCACATCACCTAGCACGTCTGCCTGCCCCCAGCCTGGCTTTCCCTCTCCCTCCCTGCAGTCAGCACCACCCCAGGCAAAGACATCTACAATCCAGAAAACGCCATAAGCAAAACCACTTTCAATCTAGTAATGATGAAGTGGGTTAGAATAAAAACCCGTGAGATACAGTAGAGTTATAAACATTTTATTTGCTTTTATTTTTTCTTCTTGAAATACAAAATGTGCACGTCGAGTTTACACAAACACGCGATGGCGGATTTCAGTGTACATGTATTGTACTACTTTGAACTTCTACACTGGTGATAGCAGGGCAGCTCTCCACATCCTATCTCTACACCAGAATAGATACCTGATTTGTTGTCGCAAAGACAGTTGCAAGTTTCCTCCTCCTGTCGCCTCTTGGTCTCTGTGATATTTCTGCAAAACTGAAGGTGTGTGTATCTTTAGTAATGTGGCAACTTGACAATTTTGGCTTAAGTGAGTTAAAAAGAATCAGCATTATTGGAGTTTTATGGTACGCTAAATCATGACACAGGCCAGATAAGTTGCTTAGCACTTGTATTCATTTTCAGCTACGTTTTGGTATTGGAGTTCTCACTATAATGGAATCACTGGTGTTTTCAAAGTGATTTTTGCTTGTTTCTAGCACACATCGGGGAGATGGAGGTTTCTTTGTCCCTGATGGCATGAATTTATAAAGACGCCATGAGGAAGTCAGGGAAAGGGGTGCAATAGGCTTTCAATGCTGTTAAAATTTACTTCTTTTTTTTTAGAAGAGTTTATATTTAGACAGAGGGGAACAGAGGGAGAAAGGGAGAGAAACATCAATGTGTGGTTGCCTCTCGCATGCCCCCTACTGGGGACCTGGCCCGCAACCCAGGCGTGTGCCCTGACTGGGAATCGAACTGGCAACCTTTTGGTTCACACGCTGGCACTCAATCCATTGAGCCACATCAGCCAGGGCTAAAATTTACTTCTTATTAAGCATTTCTGGATACTGAAGGACAGATATCCTGCCCCTTGGCATACGCCTATAAACATCCTCACTTTGTTTCGCACCTTGGACTTCCACTTAATGACAGTAGAAAACAGTCAACCTGGAAGATTGAACAAATCCAAAATTATACACATCGTCCAGACCTTAGCTATGATACGTACTTATGAAAAATTAAGAAATGCTTATTAAATAAGCTATTAGGCATATGCTGACACTTGGTGTTAAACTAATTTGGTTTTGAAAAATGCCAGATAAATGGATGTTTTGAGCAGAAGGTAGCAAATCCATAGACACTGGGACCATGGGTTTGCTTTTTTTAAATTGTGGTAATCCTGTTTACCTGTAGTACATGAATAGAACTGCAGCCTACAAACATGAAAATTAATTCCTGGAAATTAAATGCACATGCCAGTATTTTAGAAAACCACTTAAAATCCTGGGGTGGAGTACATCCAAATGAGTAGCAAAAAAAAAAATAAAATAAATTCAAAGTCACTGATAATGGGAAGGTCTTAATAATCCCATGGCTAAAGTACCAATAAAACTATATGCCAGATTCTATATTCACAGGGTGTGACGTGACTGAAACCATCCTGTGAACTAACTCTGGGGCATTATGAAAAGGATGCAAATTTAAACATGGAAAACTCAAATCTTTTGGGGATTGCTTCATAATAAACAAAGCTGGTTTGCATAATATGCCTCAGTGTAAAGCTGAGCAATCTATGCTAAAAGTGGTAGCTCCAACTTGTAAGTGTGGCAGAACAGTTCACATTTGTCTGATCGAGGATGTATTTGACAAGTTAAATCACATTTTCGAAGAGCTGCATGGAGCGCATTATGTTTTCATCCTGCAGGGAAAAAAAAAACAAGATTAAATTAAGCATATGTGCAAGGGAAAGTACGCTAAACCCTCATGTGATGTCACTGATAGGTTTTGCGACTAAGCGAAATGATGTCTAGATATAAACAAGGGTTAAGTTCCTGTGGCATCTCAACATCATAGTGAAACAATGTCGAATGAATGGCATTGAACGAAATGATTCGGAATAAATGACACTGGAGAACATGATGTTATTTGAGGGCCTGCTACACATTGTTTTCCTCTAAATACTGCCTGCCCCCAGCAGCCCCTACACCCCAAGCTCACATACTCTTTGCACGCGTAAACAGCATTCTGTCCATGCTCCACATAGACAGCTGGAGAGCCCCTTTTACGTTTTGTTGAGTCTGCTAGCCTTTAAATATTTCATTGAACTCTTGTTGCTAATAGAGGATATTTCTCAAACCAGAATGCCGGAACAGGAAACTAGAGAGTCAAGGAGGGTAAGACAAAGAGAGCAAATGCAAATTTTGGTATTCCAGGCAGATCACAGACTTGAACGCGCAGAAGGAAACAGGTTTGTGTGCTCGTTAGAGAGAGACGACTTCATGAGGAATGGAGGCTGGGGCTTTGGGACGTGTTTTCAGTAATTGCGCCTTTCCCTGGATATGTCAGGGCTAAATCTGGGTTGCCTCTAGGAGCCTTTAAAAGTGAATGGTCTCCCAGTGCCAGAGAAAGAATTGTTTGGGGAAAACCATTGCCCCGTGGCTGACTTTGGTGTAGCATATTCCTTAGGAACATAAGGGACAGACTCTGCACATCATGGGGGCACGTGGAGGCTGTATGTGAATGGCATTCGGTGAGCTTTCTACAGTAATGGCGAACGATGTCTGAGCTAGTGATGACCTCCACTCCTAGGCGCCAAGTCACAGCAGCAGCGTCGAGCAGGTTGGTGCCACCCGCTCGGAATATGAGTATAGAAACAAGCAGGCACCAGCAAAGGGAAAGTGTGTCCATATTTAAGTGGAAAAGCTAAAGCACCAGCAAACCTCATCCATGTTTTTAAAACTGTTCATTGTGGTTGTAGCCACACATGAAGTCAAATAATTCTAGGTAAGCTAAAACTGGCCTCCCACCAGCCAGATTTCTCCTCTGACGGAATTTACTGCTCTTTTTTTTATGTGCCTGAGGACTATTACTACTTCAGCCAGTTCTTATCCTCGTGCATTAAAGCAATGATGTTTCTCTTAAAACTCAGCCCTAAGCTTGGGCTGTGATGAATACTTAACTGTACCAGAATTCTAACGCTATGGAGATATAATAGACAACATATATGTTGTAAGCGGAGTCCAGGCAAAGAGCAATTTAAATTTGACGCGGGTTTTTTTTTTGGTAAAGATTTTATTTATTTTTAGACAGAAGAGAAGGGAGGGAGAAAAAGAGGAAGAGAAACATCAATGTGTGGTTGCCTCTCATGCACCCCCTACTGGGGACCTGGCCCGCAACCCAGGCATGTGCCCTGACTGGGAATTAAACCAGCAACCCTTTGGTTCGCAGGCCAGCCCTCAATCTCCTAAGCCGCACCAGCCAGGGCTAAATGGAACATGTTTTATTCTCAATGACGAATACTCTCTTAAAGCAGGGGTGTCGAACTATTTTCACTGGGGGGGCCACATCAGCTTCGTGGTTGCCTTCAAAGGGCTGAGTGTAATTTTAGGACTGAATAAATGTAACTGCTCCTTAACAGTTAAGTGAGAGCTGGGTGCTGCCGCCGGGTGCCTGGAAACAAGGTGCGGGCCGGATAAAACAAAGTGGAGGGCTGGATTGGGCCTGCAGGCCTTGTGTTTGCCACCTGTGCTCTAAAGGGTTTAAGGAGCAAAAACTCAAGTCTACATGCAATGTTTGCATCTGCAGGGCTTACCTATGTAGCTGTAGGCACTCTACTGGGCCTGATTAGTTAATGCAGAAACCGGTGGTTGTTTCAGAGCAGCGGGCTTATCTCGGCTGTGTCACAGTGGGAAAGCGGTGGCTGGCTGGCAATGCTCAGTCTAGCTGTTATGAAAGCAAAAGGAAAATTCCTTTCCTACCATTACTTACTTTTTGGCAACTTTCGATGAACTCATCTATAGTAACAACTCCATCTTTATTTTTGTCCATTTTCTGTTCAGGAAGAAAAGAATGAAATTATTCATTGCCCTGGGATATCCTCACACCTGACCCAAATGAGCTGACGCTGATATGGGGGGAGGGGAGAAGAAGCCCACCGCTTGTTTAAGTGGGAAGAACTGCTTCAGAACACGAACTAATAATGTCTCAGTGATAGGAATCATCTGGCTGGCTCCTTTTAGGCTCCTCCTTTGTCACCAGTAGGTGGGGTAGATCTGGAGCCATTGACTTGGCCTTGAGCTAAGCCAGAGCTCAGGTAATGTGCTGAAACTTTCAGAACCTTGGTCTCCTCGTCTGTTAAATGGGGCTAATGAGGATTTAGAACCTCATAGGGTTCTTGTGAGAACTGAATGCTAACCACCCCGCCGGCAAAAAAAAATGTGAATCATGGCAATTGTTTAGTGTTCTATCTAGATATA